CCCGGGGCCTGGGGGGCTCAGCGGCCGCCGCCGGGATTCGCCCACAGCCGGCGGGGGCAGCACGCGGGGCCAGAACTGGGTGCGCTTCGCTGACTCGACGCGGGAACCGCGGGACTCCAGAACATTCTCTGCGGAGTGTAAGGTTCTGCTTCTACTCCAAATCCCCGATGAAAGTCGCTGCTGTGATTTAGTATCTTCTAAAAATTCGTGCTCTACTTAGAGGCTTCCAGGGCTGCGCCTTCCAGTAGGTGGCCACGAGCCACATGTGGCACTTGAGCCCTTGAACGGTGGTGACTGAGGAACCGACTTTTTCATATTTAGTTGTAATTAATTTAAATTTAAAAACAAGCAGTGGAAATTTTTCTGTAACATAACTTTGTTTTGGTAGGACTACCTGGTACTTTCAATGTTGAAAATGTTAAGTGTCCAAATTGATATGTGCTGTGTAAAATACATACTGGATTTCAAAGAGTTAGTACAGAAATAAGAATACAAAATATCTTATTCATTTAATAATGGTAATTACACACTGAAATAATATTTTGGATGTAGAGTTAAAACGTTAATTTTACTTTTTTAAAAATGTGGCTACTAGAAAGTTTTAAATTATTTATCTAGATGGCATCCTGCTTCTATATTTCTGCTGTAAGGAGTGGGTTGGGCTCAGTCTAAGTTTCGTGACTCCACTGCAGGCCCCTGAGCTTGGGGACACTGAGATCAGTGTAAATTGGGGTGTGTGTGTGGAGAGGCTCTGACCGTCAGGGACCAAGCCCATGGGGCCTCCGAGCAGGGTGAGCCAGGTTCACGGGGTCAACCAGGAGGCATCTCATAGGAGCCCAGGTGGCAGGAGGAGGCTCAGAGACACAGGTGCCCACAACCCCAGTAGAGCACGCAACTTGGCACAGCGGGAGCTTGTGGCGAGAACACTCATCTATGGCCTGAAGATGTGGGTCCAGCACTGGTGTGGCACTCTGTGCCCAGGTCTCTAGGCACCTCACAAGCAGTTAATATGAAGTGGGGCCAAGTCCTGGTCTGCTTCCAGAGGGGCTCCCAAAGCCAGTGTGAGGATCACAAGGGAAGCCCTCTCCAGCTGTTGCTAATAGTGGTTCTCTCCTGAGGAGAGCACCATGGAGGACTTACACTGGTTTCTGGAATGCTGATTTATTACCAGCACATAGAATTCTTTTGAAATCTGAAGCGCATCTTTTAAAAGCTTTGTTTCACACTTTGACATGCACATCAGTGGACTGTAGCAGGCACCTGATCCACTGTTTACAGAGCTGGAGAGAACAGAATTTAGACTGAAGCTTCTCAAAGGGAGCTGCTTGCCCTGTGCCAGCTGACAGTGGGTAGGAGCCAAGGGAAGGGGAGCAAAGAGATCTGATGGCCAAACCCCACCAATGTCCAGCAGCCCCTCTCCAGGTTAATCATCAATGATGGGACAGCCAGAAGGGCCAAGTTTTTCTGTTGGGGAGCCCAAGTCTGTTCCTGCCACCCCAATCACTTGACACCAAGAACCAAGTTTGAGCCCCAAAGACCTCTGAGGAACCCAGGTGCACAGAAGTACCCTGGTCTTTTTTCAAAATTAAGCATCCTTCACTATAGACATGCATGCATCTACACACACACAAAGTGAGAGAGGAAATGCTGTGTCTTTTACCTTCTAATATTAAATCCCAAGTAA